GCCGGCTACATCCTGGTGTCTGGAGACTGTGGTCTGGGGGGTCCTCACATATGCAGAGTAAGGAAATGAACAGTTCAGAAGAATTTGGGATTGTCTTTTGTTTCAGAAACTACAACTGGCAAGCTTCAAATCCAAGCTCCAGCACTTCCTGGATACCTGGGACTGTTTCATCATCTGATAATTGAGCTGATGCTCATACTCAATGGATGTTGGCTGTTAGTATATTAACCCACTAGCGAGAAAATCCATGGAGACAGTCCTGGGTTACCTCAGAACTAGGAGCAGCTGCAACCTCCAAGAGGGCAAGTTTGTTTTTCCTTTTTCCTCCTTCCCACAGGCCTCTCGCAGCCTCTCCACTCTCTGCAGACCTGTCCCTCTCCACAGGCCTCTGGCCTCTGTGCAGGCCTCTCTGCTCTTCACAAGTCTCTCTTGCCTCTCCAATCTCCACAGGCAGGCCTCTTCGTTGTTCACTGGCCTCTACGCAGGCCTCTCCACCTCTACAGGCCTCTCCTCCTCTCTGCAGGCCTCTCCACCTCTGCAGGCCTCTCCTCCTCTCTGCAGGCCTCTCCTCCTCTCTGCAGGCCTCTCCTCCTCTCTGCAGGCCTCTCCTCCTCTCTGCAGGCCTCTCCTCTTCTCTGCAGGCCTCTCCTCCTCTCTGCAGGCCTCTCCTCCTCTCTGCAGGCCTCTCCTCCTCTCTGCAGGTCTCTCCTCCTCTCTGCAGGCCTCTCCTCCTCTCTGCAGGCCTCTCCTCTCTGCAGGCCTCTCCTCCTCTCTGCAGGCCTCTCCTCCTCTCTGCAGGCCTCTCCTCCTCTCTGCAGGCCTCTCCTCTTCTCTGCAGGCCTCTCCTCTCTGCAGGCCTCTCCTCCTCTCTGCAGGTCTCTCCTCTTCTCTGCAGGCCTCTCCTCTCTGCAGGCCTCTCCTCCTCTCTGCAGGCCTCTCTTCTCTGCAGGCCTCTCCTCTCTGCAGGCCTCTCCTCCTCTCTGCAGGCCTCTCCTCCTCTCTGCAGGCCTCTCCTCCTCTCTGCAGGCCTCTCCACCTCTCTGCAGGCCTCTCCTCCTCTCTGCAGGTCTCTCCTCCTCTCTGCAGGCCTCTCCTCCTCTCTGCAGGCCTCTCCACCTCTCTGCAGGCCCCTTCCGCAGGCCTCTCTACCTCTCTGCAGGCCTCTCCTCCTCTCTGCAGGCCTCTCCACCTCTCTGCAGGCCCCTTCCACAGGCCTCTCCACCTCTCTGCAGGCCTCTCTACTCTCTACAGACCTGTCGCTCTCCACAGGCCTCTAGGCTCTGCACAGCTCTCCACCAGCCTGGGCCTCCTCAGGCCTCTCCGCCTGGGCCTCTCCCCAGACCGGCCTGGGCTCTATTCATACCTGAGGAGAGCCCAGGGCACTGCTTCGCTCCAGGAGGCACATCTCTTCCGGAGCGTTGCCCCTTCTCAATCTCCTCCCCGGAGCCTCCTCCTCTTAATATCCAGTGGCTGGACCCCCAAATCCGCCCTATAACGCTCCGTCCGAGCGGCCTGGAGTGCATGGCAATGACGTCAGCATGAGGTAGGCTTCCCGCCCCTCAGGTTCTCACATTAAGTGGTCCTATTACTACTGTGATTAAGAACATGCCATTTAGTTAACCTGCCCATGTAATTGTAACCCCTCTGTACAGTGTGTTCACAAAAAAAAAAAAAAGAACATGCCATTTAGGTCTCCTTGGCACAGGCTGAAATTTTTTTTTTGGGGGGGGGGTCTGGTCGTGGGGCCTGAACTCTGGGCCTGGGCACTGTGCCTCAGGTCTCCAACTCAACTCAAGGCTAGCACTCTACCACTTGAGCCACAGCACCACTTCCGGCTTCTTTTTGCTTATGTGGTGCTGAGGAATCGAACCCAGGGCCTCAGACATGCAAGGCAAGCGCTCTACCACTGAGCCACCTTCCCAGCCCCAGGCTGAAATTTTCTTAAGAGACCCAGAAACACAACAAATCAAATGGGACAAATGGGATTGTGTGAAATTGCAGAGCTTCTGCATGGCAAAGGACATAGGTGGCAAGATCAATAGAAAGCCCACGGATTGGGAAAAGATCTTCACTAGCCATACAACAGACAAGGGTCTCATATATAAAATATACCTGGAACTCAAATAATTAAATCCCCCAAAAACAAATCTTCAAAGAAACAACTTCCCCATAAATAAGTGGGCTAAAGACTTAGAGAGAAACTTCTCTGAAGAGGAAATAAGAATGTCCAATAGATATATGAAGAAATGCTCAACTTCCCTAGCCATAAAAGAAATGCAAATTAAAAGAACATTGAGATTCCACCTCACCCCAGTAAGAATGGCTATAATCAAGAACTCTAATAACAAAGGTGCTGGAGGGGATATGACAGAAGGGAACCTTACTGCGTTGTTGGTGGGAGTGTAAACTTGTTCAACCACTTTGGAAAGTAGTATGGAGGTTTCTCTAAAGACTCCACATAGAGCTCCCCTATGACCCAGCAATCCCACTTTTGGGCATTTACCCAAATGATCACAAACAAGACCATACTAAAGCTATCAGCACAACTATGTTTATTGCAGCATTATTTATCATAGCTAAGATATGGAACCAACCCAGCCTGATGCCCCTCAGTAGAGGAATGGATCAAAAAAAAAAAAAGTGGCATTAATATGTATGTATGTATGTATGCATGTATGCATACACACACACACACACACACACAGGAATTCTATGCCTCCATCAGAAAGAATGACATTGTCCCATTTGTTAGGAAATGGAAAGACTTGGAAAAAATTATATTAAGTGAAATAAGCCAGGCCCAAAGAAACATAGGTCCCGTGGTTTCCCTTATTTGCCTTATTTCCAAGATAGGGACACATGGCTTTTTCTTTCTTGCTATTGTTTCTAATGTATTTATAATGTGCCATGTGATTTTTTTGTTTCTTTGTATGTTCCTCCCCCACGGTATAACACCTGTTTTTCACTGTATTTGATGTCAGTGCCCTGCATCTTGTATATACACTTCTGTAATTTGGGGAGGGGAAGGGAAAAAACAAAAAGCTTAAATAGGGATACAGGTTGACCCATTGTAACAATGAGATATACAAGACACTATGTTGAAAATGAACTTTACAATTCAGGGGGGGGAGGGAGGGAGGGGGGTACTTATGGAGGTGGGGAGGGAAGGGATGGTAGGGGATAAACAAAGGAGGTGGTGACAATGCTTGATAGGAAATGTACTCATTACCTTGCTCATCTAACTGAAACCCCTCTGTACAGTACTTTTACAATTAAAAAATATATTAAAAACAAAAACAAAACATGCCATTGGCTCAGCTAGGTTTCATTGGTGTCCTTTAGTTTTTGGGTACAGGTCCCAGGCTTGATCTGGTGCTGTTCCTGAGCTTTTTTGCTCAAGGCTAGTGCTCTAGCACCTCATCCACACCTCCACTTATAGCTTCTCTGGTGTTTAATTCCAGATAGTCTTGCAGATGTTTCCTGCGTAGGCTGACTTTGAACTGCAGTCCTCAGTCTGATCCTTTGGACAAGATAGGATTGCAGGTAACTGTTTTGTTTTGGGGGTTTTGTCAGTCATAGGGCTTGAACTCAGGGCCTGGGCACTTTTCCTCAGCTTTTTCACTCAAGGTTAACACTTTACCACTTTGAGCCACAGTGCCACTTCCAGTTTTCTGGTGGTTATTTGGGGATGTTTCATACTTTCCCACCTCAGGCTGGTTTCAAACTGTGATCCTCAGATCTCAAGACTCCTGTAGCTAGGATTACAGGCATGAACCACAAGAACAGGGCGGCATGACCTGTCATCCCCATCTAATGATTATATACATGATCATTGTGAACTTCAGTGTAGCATAGTATATGTATTACCTCTCCAATTTCATGATGCTCTTTCTGGGCCCAAATATCTGACTGAACAAGTGAGTACTGTTTATTATTTGCATGCTGTTTTCTCCTTTGGTATTTTGATGTATGTTTACAGTAAACTCAGTTTTTGTTAACTGAATGATTGTCTTACAGGAGCAGGTCTTCAGATTTATAGTCCTTCAGACTCGAGGAATATTAAGCAGTCTCTTCCACACTACACCTGATTATAGGCATGATGAGCTCCTAGACTTTGAGTTGTTACAGTGGGATACTAATTGAAGGTCCTTCGCATATGAACTGAAGCTAACTGTAGAATGGGAAGGTGACTGTAACATCAATTCTACTTGTGACTAAGTGCTGAGTCCATACTGTTTCTACCCTTTGATAGGTTTGCACTGAACCCAATGCTAATGACTTCCTAAGCTTTTGTGCATGAAAGGCAATACAACTTTCTGCACTCGTATTAGGGACCAAATCAAGTGCCTCAATACCCACATGAAAACCCAAATGAATCCAGACATGGAAAATTTCTGAAACTAAATGCATACATGTCCTGGCCAGGGCCCAAATGCTCTGGCATCCAGTTTCAGCTCCATCAAGCACCTAGCTGCAAACCAGAAGACCTGTAGCCAACTCAGCACATGCCTTCCTTAGGATCCTTATTCACAGAGAAAATGACTTGATTTTGAGTCAATGTTTCTCTATCTATCTTAGAGGCTGCTCTTGAACTTGTGATCCTCTTTGTCTCTGCTTCCCAAGTGCAAGGATTATAGGAATCATCAACAGACCCAGCTATGACTATTTTAAGCACCTCAATTCTGGGTGATTCATGGTAGTATTTGGCTAAAACAGGTTTCTGCTAAGAGAATACAAATTTCATTTTCACCTGAACCACAAAAATGAAGCTGCTCTGGGATTTGCAAATTTAGGGAACATGACTATAGTTTGCATCTTAAATGTGTTAAAGGCTTGTTGTGTCCTCAGAGTGACACTACTGGGAATGGTGGAATCTTTGAGTTGGGACCTGACAGAAAGTCCTTAAGTCAATGAGACTGTGCCCTTGAAGTGGTTGTGGGACTTAAAAGATAAGTTAACAAATTGCAAATAAAAACATAAAAGTAAAAGATGAGAGCTACTGTATGTTCCTTTATATTTTATTTACCATAAACACTAAACACAGCAAATGAAAAAGGCTTAATAACTTGACATAAAGCTAAACACTTGAAATTATGCTTGCCCCCCAACCCATCCCAATTTGGCATGCAGATTTCATTTATCTCCATATACGCTGATTGAAGAGCATCACAGTCTCAATACTTTCATGAGTATCCTTGCCTTGTAACCTAAAACAATTTCTAACTATACACAATCATGGTATAATACCATCATTCAGAGTTCCCCAAAGTCAATACATTTATACAATTTAAACACTGAAATCTGTGTTTTTAAAAATGTAAGTCAAACAACAAAAACCTGGGATTTAGTTTTAAATGTGTTTATGATGACTGCTGCTGAGCTCAAGGCATGCAGGTATTCATGACCACCTAGATGAAGCTGGATATTGAACTCCTTCAGCAGATCCAAAGATGTAATTTTTCACTCATCCCATGTATCTCCATATTTGTTTACTTTTACTAGAAAAAAAAGCACAAATAACTGATGATTCCAAACAGTAAAAGAAAATAGTATCTTAGGTTTTTATGTTTGTAATGATGATGAAATTATGAGTCTCATGTGAAAAACAAGTCAAATTATAAATGGGCTGGGCAGATTTTTGTGCACTAGGGGTTATTTGGAATTAGACATGTCCTATATCAAGAACTTTACATAAATAATTAACCTTCACACAACCTTATGATATAAAGACAATGTCTGTCTTATGGGTGAGAAAAAAGATTAGTAACTTGCCCAAGGTACAAGTAGCAGTACTGAGATTTCAATGTTTTTAGGTCGAAAGCCTCGGTGCCTTTACAACTTTACCATACTACTTACTTCGTAAGTGTTGTATATAAAATAGCATATACCAAAAAGTTATCAAGAAATTTAAAAAAATCAAATCTGAATTTTGTTTTCATGGGAAATATAGCAAGATCAAAACTTCAGATTGCAAGTCAATCTTCTCTCTCATAAGTTGTCTACAAAGAAGGAAAAGGTCTCCAATATTCTGGTGGCTGTGTGAGTCACTGACAGGTTGTCTTCTATTTTAAGGTTCTCTTTTAAGCCTCCATCAGCAAATTAACTCCTCTTCATAAGTCTCAAGTAATTCTAACCATGTAATAATCACTGTACTGTATATACCTTTTAGGGTCAAAAGTCAAAACTACTTTATTTTTCTGTACTCCCTGTGAACCTATACTACATTTTTAAATTTCCTGCTTAGATTGGAAAACATTTTAGAAAATCAATTAAACTACCTCATAAGTCTTTACATAAAGCACAAAAAAATCAATTTCCTTTTATAAAGAAAAAAGTTCATACATTCACATTACATTTCTAGTGTTCAGTTAAAACCCAGCAAATCTATACTTTATTACTACTGAAGGCCTGAGCAATACATTCCATTTCTGATAGCCCAAATATATATATTTGGAGACATATACTAGAAAAGAAAAATGAGAAAAATACTACTTCCTGCCCTCATGGAGCTTACAGTCTAAATCAATTAACAGAAATTGTACCATAACTCCTGACATTTTACAGAATAATGGCCACTGGATGCCAATGTTTTCTAATTACAATCATCAACCAGTACTGCAAATCTATTTCAAAGATAGACTTTTTTTTATGATGAAGGTTTTACTTATCCTTATTATAAAAGTGATTATAAGTGAAATAAACACTACCTTTAAAAATTAAACTAGAAGACTGATACCAGTGGCTCATGCTTTTAAACATAGCTACTGAGATCTGAGGATAATAGTTCAAAGCCTGCCTACGTAGAAGAGTCCATTGAGACTTTTATTTCTAATTAACTACCAAAAAGATGGAACTGTGGCTAAAATGATAGAGAGGTAGTCTTGAGCAAAAAAACACAGAGACAGCATCCAGGCTCTGCACCAGCACAAAACATAACACCAACAACAAAAAACCTGGGCTAGCCAGGCACCAGTGGCTCACACCTATAATCCTAGCTACTCAAGAGGCTGAGATCTAAGGATCACGGTTCAAAGCCAGACCAGGCAGGAAAGTCAGTGAGACTCTTATCTCCAATAAACCACCAGAAAACTGGAAATGGCACCGTGGCTCAAGTGGTAGAGCGCTCACCTTGAGCTGAAGAGCTGAGGGACAGCATCCAGACCCAGAGTTCAAGCCCCACAACCGGAGGGGAGAAAAAAAAATACCTGGGCTCTTAAAATTATCCTAATAGCAAATGCTGAAGGTTTTTATGTGTTTTTGCACTTTATGGCAAATGGTTCCTTCAGAAGGCACAAAGGGCCAATTCCTATCTTATGAGGTTTTGGTGTTATTATCTTTATGTAACACAAGAAGCTGCCATTTAACAAAGCAGTTTATGAATACACACTAATCGATGTCACCCCTTTCAACATTCTCACCTACCTCTCCCAACCTACCCTTGAGGTTTTAAGAATTTTTCATTAGTTTATAATTTATTCTTTTATAAGGATTGAACTCAGGATCTTACACATCTAGCAAGTGCTCTATCCCTGAATTTAATTCCTTTCTTTGATACTTAAATTAGTAAATAGAAAAACCTTCCAACAATGACATATCCTCTGGAATTCCTTAAAAGTGAAATCATAAAACCCTACATTAAAATGACTTGTAAAACCTTAAAATACTGTAGAAGTAAATTTCTGTGTCCAAAACTTGACTTTGGATAATATATGGCTGTTCCTAAAGGACTTAGAGATTGTGATTTATAGGTTTATTACCAAATTATAAAGAAAAATAATGTAAATCAAATTGCTCTCTTGGAAATGTCCTAAAAATTTATTTGTATAGCACATAACTCTTCCAAATGCACATACATACAAATCTCACTACTCTATATGAGCAGTTTTGCCCAAAGTAACAGTACAATCTCACAATCAACCTCAGGTAAGCAAAGCTCGATATGGTGATCCACCAGTAGGAAAAAGATATCAATTCCCAAGGTGACTTTTTATAAAGTGTGAATATTCTAAACTATAATAAAAAATTAAAGTCTTACTGTCCTGAGTTGTGCTGTTTCAACTTATTTTCTAACAGAAAATGGCCTTTTGAACACCTTAAAAATGGAAAACATACCTATAAAATTATTATTCCTTAAAAAAATTACCTAGATTAATGGAATAATTTAATGACATACTACTGTAATTGTTTGAAACTAATGCTTTAGTTTCCAATTCTAAAGTTACGTGATTCAGACTAAACTATCATACCTTCTTTTTTTGGCATAGGCCTGACTGAGGGGTCAGTCTTTTGTGTTAAAGTTACTTCATATGACTCTCTGTTCTTATTCCTTAATTCCTCATATGTAATATTTTTTCTTTTGGGACTTTCTTCTGGGGTGGGCTCAGGTCCTAAAACAACAAACAGTTAATAAGTGGTGACAAAAGGATTTAGATAAATCCACAGAAACTAAACTTTGCAAATACTTGTTATCTACAATCAAAACAGAATAAGAAGAAATGAAGGATCAAATGACCACCATTCCAAAGGTACTTTACACTTTTTCCAAGGTAACTTCAACACTGAAATCTATTCCTTCTTATAGTTTTAAACTTTTATTCCTACAACTGAAAATTAACGAAGTTTTTAAGCACTAAATCATCACCAGAAAAAGGATGAGTAACATAATAAAATTAAATTTCTACACTATACCATTTAAACAAATTAAAATGGTAGTACTTTAAACTGGAAAATCATTATTAGTATATATAAAATTGAGAGTCTACTGAATAAAATTTGGTAACAGATTTTTTTTTTAACAGTTCCATAAATAATGTTCCCATTTAGTCAGGGTTTATATACCAACAGCTCCAATTACTTAACAAACTTAATTTGTCATCTTTATGGTATGTGAACATAAATAATTGAACTAACAACTAAAAAGGGTAAATCTAAACTTCAGCCAGAGAAGGGATTGTTTTCATTCTGGTCTAACACTATGTTTACCCTGGGAACCTGTACTTATTCTATTTCCCCCCAGAAAAGTCAAAGTGTGAACAATGTATTTATCAAGAGTCAAATACTGATTAAAAAAAAAAAAAACTACACCCCCTCTGTACTGTATGTTCACAATAAAAAAATAAAAAAATAAATCACTGTTTGTGAAAAATCATATAATAAGAATAATATATTAACTATAATGATAAAAGTAGATAGCCATTAAAAAAGAAAAGGAAAACCCAGTTGGTGAAAACAAGATAACAAGTTTCTAGTGTATGAAAGTTAGTATTCAACTAAATAAATAAAACAACTCATAAATTTCAAAAAAAAAAAAACTACACAATACTCTGTAATATTGACAGGATCAAATACTGAAGACAGTTTATAAAATGGATAAACAGCAAAAAAGTCATATAAATATTTTAATTAATTAATGTTAACATAACATTCAGTGAACTACTAGTCTCACACACACCAGAAGTATTTTTCAGTGAGATAACTTACACATGTCATTGTAGTAATAATCATCTTAATTAAAATTCAAATAATAAAAGGTACTTATTTAAAACTGAATGAGAAGGTTCCAATGAATATTCATAATTTTCCAACATTAACTACACATTACTATACTGATATAAAGCAAAAACTTGTATTTCTAACAAGTTCTAAAAATGACAGAAAACCTGTTCTAGATACAAAAAAAGATGTAAAGAAAAATATAATCTGATACTGGTCATGAAACACTTCGCACTGCATTAGTAATTAACAAATGACCTCATGTCTTTGCACCATAGAAACTTTTAAAATTCTGAAAGTGATAATGACACTTGACGATCTGTGTATATCCTTGGGCAAATTACTAAGCTTCTCTGAATCTTGGGAAATATAGTAGTTTGACTAAATGACCTTTCTTTCTAGGTATAAGGTTTTTCTCATCCAGAAGAAAAATACTTTATTGTTCTGAAATTGTGATAAATGAAAACATATTCAAAGAGAAGATTGAGGAAAATTTTCTGCACTTTTAATATAAAATGGCACTGCTTTAAATCTAAGTTAGATTTAACTTAAGTAACTTAAGACTAATACTAAGGCTTTTAGTAGCTATGATGGAGTGATTTCTATTTTGAAAAGATTATTAACTTTGGATTCCTAGTTAAAGCAAGCAAAAGTTAAAGCATTGGATAAATAGGACCAAAGAAGATGCTCTGAGAAGGAAGGGCAGAACCTGGGGCAAAGCAAAGGAAACCAGGGAGGTCCATGTGGAGAGCAGTAAAAAGGCCTAATTTCAAGGTAGAAAAAAAAAAACAAAACTAGAAGAGGACAGAGGATGGCTGCTATGGATGGTATTAAAGTACTATTACATATGGAGTTGGTTGTTACCCCGGGTAGATACCAAAGTGATTATTTTGGTGTTATGTGGAAGTTCTGTCTTGAGCAAAGAAGAATGAGTTTGGACTTGAGACTGGAAGAATGAAACGGTAAAAGACAAGGACTGTCTCTGGAGATAAGATGGTGACTTTAACCACTGTTACCCACTTCTCATAATTTGATGTTGTCTTTTCAAAGGGAAAGGGCACACACTGAGAACTAAGAGATCCTCAACAACTTTCCACAAGTAAGAATGTTCTATGTTGGCACTAACACAGGAACTACCAGAACACATGACTAGTAACTAAAATGCTATTACCAAAGCAACTGAGAAACTGAATTTTAATTAATTTGCACAGACACATTCAGCTAGTACACACTTTATATTCTGACCTATCTAGATCCCCTTTCTTCATCTTTGCCAAACTTTTTTTCGGGGGAGGGAGGCTGTATCTGAGCTTTTGTGCTCAAAGGCAGCACTCTACCACTTGAGCCACAGTACTTCTGGCTTTTTAGTGGTTAACAAGTTAAGAGTCTCATGGATTTTCCTGCCCAGGTCTGGCTTTAAACCAGATCTCAGCCTTCTAAGTGGCCAGAATTACAGGCACAAGCCACCAGAGCCCAGCTTTTCAAACCTTCTTAACCATAATCAACTAGTCTCCCATTGCATCCTCACCTTTGCTTTTATAAAATCTCTCCCATCTTGGCTGAGCACTGGTGTCTCATGCCTGTAATCCTAGCTGCTCAGGAGGCTGAGATCTGAGGATCATGGTTCAAAGACAGCCCAGGCAGGAAAGTCCATGAGTATCTTACCTCCAAGTAACCACCAACAAAACCGGAAGTGGTGCTGTGGCTCAAAGTGGTAGAGTGCTAGCCTTGAGCAAAAGAGCTCAGAGACAGCACCCAGGCCACAAGTTCAAGCCCCATGACTGACCAAAAAAAGAAAAAAAAAATCGAAATCTCTCCCATCTTAAAAATAAAATAAAACCCTTATTGTTTCTTATTTGCTCCCCAGTTACTGGCTCACTGAATTCACTTTAAACCAAGAGTTTTCAAAGAATACAAAGATCTATGATCTTTTATCCAAGCAGGAATGCATAGTAAAAAAACAAACAAAATAAAACCACACAAGTGTTTGGCAACAAAATATAGAAAAGTCATTTCAAATAAATGAAATAAAAACTATTTTTATAACTTAATATCAGTTAGGTCAAAGTATGCTACAAAATGAGCTCAGGTCACAAAGTTTTTGGTTTCCAGATTTTGGGGTTTTAGAATTGTAGACCTATGCTTCCAGCTTCTAATTCTCCACTTTTCATTGCAGACTAGAATGAAAGAAAGAAGAAACTTAACATTTGCTGAGTCTATTGCTTTACAGGCTTCACATCTGACTAGATCATTTAATTCTAACAGTTCTTTGACCAGTACTATCTCCATCAAGAGACCAAAAAACTCAAGCTAGAGATTTGGCAATGTGACTCAGCCATAGAAGGCCTGCCTTGTAAACTGGAAGCCCTGAGTTCAAACACTAGCCCCACCTGAAGAAATTTTTTAATGAAAGAAGAGACTGGAGTACTATATATTAGTTGTTGTGACTATAACTACAAAATCATATAGTTAACTTTAACTGTCAATTGTAAGTCAAATCTAGGCTCTAATCCAAAGCTGTTATTGTTTCACTTAGATCTATAGTCTTCCATGTTAGTCTTAGACTTCCATACTTATGACTTTACAATTCCCTTTAACATGGATTTTTCTCTTGACAAAAGTTCTGTAAAAGCTGAAAAACTTTAAGATCAACCTATCTACCATACTTTAGCCTTTCCAAATCTCTAGTTCCTGAAACATAACTTAACGCTTCTCTACTTTTCCATTATGTATATTTAAATTAATAAATCAACTTGTAATATATTTTTGCATTTCTGCATATTTTACCAGATAATTTCCATAAGATGAGAAATAGGTCTGAATGAAGTCTGCATTCATCTTAACTTCTTCCATACCTCACAAGAGTGCCTGATACCTACTGATCTTCATGAAATATTGAATGAAGAAACAAATGAAGAAAGTAACAAATATGCTGATGTAGGCTGACGGATGGGTTTAGGTGGATGGCTGATGGTTTGGAACATATAGGTGATATATATCCAGCAGAAAAGGTCATCAAATAAAGTTTATACATACGTTGAACCATAAAATGCTGAAATTCATTTCAAGAGAAGTTTCTACCTTGGGCAATATGATCAGTAATACCAGTAGGAGTGGATTCATTCATAGAAGCACTGAATGGAATGGGCTCATAACGAGGAAGCATCTCCTTTTCTATGTTGTCTGCTGCTGGAGATGGCACAAGAGAAGGCTGACCACTCATATTTGTGGCATATTTTGACTTTTGAGAATAGTGCCTGTAAAAAAATACAATGTAAGAAAAATGAGTCATTGTCCTCAGTTGTTAAGGTATGAAAACAAATTACTAAATTGATCAAACAATCCAAATTTGAAGTTATTTATAAGCACTAAAATGAACTCTGTCCCCACAGAAAGCATTAAAAAAAAAAAAAGAGTACTGATTTACACAACTTAAAAATTGTCAGGGAAGGGGCTGGGAAGGTGGCTCAGTGGTAGACTGCTTGCCTTGCATGCCTGAGTCCCTGGGTTCGATTCCTCAGCACCACATAAGCAAAAAGAAAAAAGCCGCAAGTGGCACTGTGGCTCAAGTGGTAGAGTGCTAGCCTTGAGCTGAAGAGCTGAGGGACAGCACCCAGGCCCAGAGTTCAGACCCACGACCGGACCCAAAAAAAAAAAATTGTCAGGGAAGGGCTGGGAAGGTGGCTCAGTGGTAGAGCGCTTGCCTTGCATGCCTGAGGCCCTGAGTTCGATTCCTCAGCACCACATAAGCAAAAAGAAAAAAGCCGGAAGTGGTGCTGTGGCTCAAGTGGTAGAGTGCTAGCCTTGAGCTGAAGAGCTGAGGGACAGCGCCCAGGCCCAGAGTTCAGACTCCACGACCAGACCCCCCCCCCCCCAAAAAAAAAAAAAAATTGTCAGGGAAACAGAAGACATATCTCATTTCCTAAATTTCTAACTTTGAAGATAATTTTAATGTATCCTAAAATTATTGGAAAAAGAACTTTGGTTCAGGTCTCAGTTTCATTAGGCATACCCTTTCACATATTCGTGGGAAAAGGTATTTCCACTAAATTTGCTATAGCACATAAACACTATCTCTAAATGAAGTTTACAGTGCTTAACAGTAAAACATAATTTATCAACCTATTTAATGACTGTAACTTTTTTGTCTACTTATCCAAATTCATTTATCCACACTATACTATAGTCTTTAAGAAAACCTTAAGGTTAAACACATGTGTGCCAGTTTTGAGGCTTGAACTCGGGGACTGGGTAGTGTCCCTGAGCTTTTGTGCTGAAGACTAGCATTCTACCACTTGAGCCACAGCTCCACTTCTGGCTTTATGGTGGTTAACTACAGATAAAGTCTTGTGGTCTTTGCTTCCCAGGCTGGCTTCACACCATGATCCTTAGCTCTCAACCTCCTAAGTAGCTAGGATTACAAGGCATGAGTCACCAGCCCCCAGCTCATTTTGACTCTTATTATAATGATCATATACAGAAAAGTTGGATAAAAAGTAGAAATCTTGCATATCACAACCATTATCACTATCTACTTAAAACTCATAAACTTTTCTTTGAAGAGGAAATTTTATGCATATGTAATTTATATTCTACCTTTTCAGGTTAGCAAAAACATTTCATTTTGATGCTTTACAATCAGTTTTAAGCAACTTCCCAATATCCATGAACCATTCTCCTTCACTGGAAATTAATTCAGTTTTCTCTACTTAAAGCAAAGTTGTACGGCTGGGGGTACATACTTTGGTTGCAGAGAATTTGGCAAGCATGTGCCAGGTCATGAGTTCAAAACTCACAACAGAAAAAACAAGCAGAGAAAATATATACAAAGTAATAGGCTACTTGAAAGACCTAGACATGGTGGTACATGCCTATATTGCCAGCATTGGGAGGCTAGGGAAAAAGACTATTTTTGAAACTACACAATAAGGCTCGGCCTCAGAAACTTATAAAAACAACACTAATTATCATCAGTAAATAATTTTGTGCCTATAGATTTAAATTTGATCTGATTTACAGAATTTGGCACAAATAAACTTTAAAATGTTATACATTCTAATATATCCTAACAAAATACTATCCAAAGAACTTACAACAATTTATACCAGAATTTACTCAGTTTATTTTAAAAATTATTTAAGCAACAATGAGACCCAGACATGGTGGCTCAAGCCAGTGATCCCAGCATTCCAGTGGCTAAGGAAGTGAGGTATTAAGAACACAGCAAGTGCTGTTTACAGCAAGTGGTAGAGCACTAGCCTTTAGCAAAAAGCTCAGTGATAGTGCCCAGGCCCCAAGTTCAAGCCCTAGGACTAGCAAAAAAAAAAAAAAGCCAAAAGTAAGCTGGGCACTGGTAGCTCATGCCTTGTTAAAACGAGGCACTTAGGAGGCTGAGATCTGAGAATTATGTTTTAAAGCCAACCTGGGCAGAAAAGTCCCTCTGAGACTCATGCTCAGGCCCTGAGTTCAAGCCCCACAGCCAACAACAACAACAAAAAGCCAGAAATAGAGCTCTGGCTAAAGTAGTAGAGTTCTGGTTTGAGCACAAAAGCTCAGGGGACAGTACTAGGCCCTACAATTCAAACTCCAGGACTGTCACACACACAAATAAATACATTTTTTTAAAACATTTTTTAAAGGTCTGGGAATGTGGCTCAGTGGTAGCCTAGCATGCATGAAGCCCTGGGTTCCATTCCTCAGTACCACATAAACAGAAAAAGCCAGAAGTGGTGCTGTGGCTCAAGTGGTAGAGCATTAGCCTTGAACAAAAGAAGCTCAGGGACAGTGCCCAGGCCAAGTTCAAGCCCCAGGACTGACAAAAAAAAAAAAAAAAAAAAATTAAGCAAAATTAAAAAAGAACTATGGCTATCAGTATGAAGCCAAAGTATCAAAACAAAGATTAATGTGCTGAATCTCAGAGAAAAGTTAAAACAGATTTTCTGTGCAATTCATTTTCCTATTTTAAACAACAAAAACAATAAAAGGAAAAACTGTAATTTGTTAAATAGGACTGACCAAGTTGGGAATTTAAATGAAGTCTAAATTCAGTAAACCAAAAGGGCTTGCCAAACTGAATGAAGATAAAACCTTTCATTCTAAAACATGGACTCCCAATAGAAGGAAACTATACTGGTAACAATGGCAGTAGCCAACATGCCTTGTTCTTCTTTTTAAAGCAAGTTATTTTAGCCTATAACAAATGGCAAGTTTCCAAAGATTTTTCAGTAAGGCAATGTTTGGTATGCTGAATGACGGCACTGTCCAGTTTTCTTTTCTTAAAAATTAAATTTTAAGATCAGAATAAGGCCTACCCAGGTGGTGCAGATCGCCGTGCTTGTCCTGATCGTAAAGCTTCTCCAAGAGGAGAATTTTCAAGATTCTTAAACTTCTCTTGGCAAGTTTTCACGTAAGAAAGTTTTCCAGCAAAGTATCCCATGATGCAGGCAACTTATTTGTAAAATAAACAAAACAGTATGACTGAGACCTTTCAGACAAAAAAATCTTTACTAAAAAAAGTTTAATTCTAAGTATCTGTTTGGTTTTAGAAAAAGATTTCCTAACATACTAGTAAAAGTACATTAAATTAGGCTCAAAAGATCACAGAAAGACTTTATGGATATAATTCACCTCCCTCAAAAAAATAAAGTTTCATTAAGATAAAACAATTCCAATACACTAGTTTTGTTAGATACTGAGCCACTTTCATAGGGTTGCTTTAAATATGTAACTAGGTAAAACAAATCCCTTAAAATAATGAATTATGAATTCTAACCTACATACTATCCTCATTATCTCATGTTTCAGTTTTTAATACAAAAGAGAGGCTATCCTATCTGGAAAGATTCATGAAATGCCTCAACTACTTTTTGGAAAAAGAAATTTTTTCTTTGTATTAGCCAAAATTGCAAAATGTAAATTAGCTAACAACATAAATTTAAAACTATTTCTTTTAAAAAATTAAGTTTAAGTCAGGCTTGGGTAGCTCACAGCTATAATCCTAGCTACTCAAGAAGCTAAGAACTAAAGATTGGTGATTCAAAGCCAGATGGGGCCAGAAAGTCTGTGAAACTCTCCAATTAACCCCCCAAAACTTAAAGTAGCACTGTGCCTCAAGTGGCAGAGTACTAGTCTTGACCAAAAAAAGCTCAGGGACAGCGCCCAACCCCTGAGTTCAAGCCCAGGATCAGCACAAAAATACTGAGTTCCGTTCTCAGGGCTATTTGCTCTACTTTCCCCAGACAGAACAAAACTTTCTTTTTAAATCAATACTATGCAGCCTACAAAATAATTTCAATTCAACAGCTGTATTACAATAAAAGAAGAAAAAGGCCTTTTATATGATTCATTTTCTGATGCTAATAATAAAATATCCAAGTAGTCCGTTTAAGGACAAGTTAAAACAAACTAATCAGAATATATAACCATATAACACCATGAGTAAGTCACAATGTATCAAAGTTGATAAAAACTTTATTTAGATGAAAAAGAAAAGAAAAATGCAGTACCATACATACTTACATATAAGTTTAGGGATGGAACCATATTTGGGATGACTTGAAAGGATTCCTAAAGAATAAAGAGTTAAATATTTCTGAGTAACACTGTCAGAGAAAACCCAGTTCAAACTATCTAACGATTATCTGCCAACATTAACTGTTTGACCCTAGAGAACTCTACTTTTTTTTTTTTTTTTTGTCGGTCATGGGGCTTGAACTCTGGTCTGGGCACTTTCTCTGCACTCTTCAGCTCAAGGCGAACACTCTACTGCTTGAGCCACAGCACCACTTCCAGTTTTCTAGTGATTTATTGGAGATAAGAGTCTCACGGACTTTCCTGCCTAGGCTGGCTTTGAACCATGATCCTCAGATCTCAGTCTCCTGAGTAGCTAGGATTACAGGCGTGAGTCACCGGCGCCCGGCTCTATGTTACTTTTAAGAGAAAGAATTTAGTGTCAATAGATTTTAAAAATATAAAAAGACCTCTAACCATCAGAAAGGTGAATATAGAAAGACCACTCAACATCAAGCCAATAGATGAACAAACTGCTTCTATATACCAAGAACAACAAACAATTCTCAGTAGATTTCATTTATGGAGTCCTTAACTCCATTTTCAACAGGAAATCTTTCTCATTCTTTTGTCTTTCTCCCTTCTTTATCTTATTAAACCTAAATACATCCCTGAGTCTTTAATAGTTTTCAGTGCTATACTAAGTGGAAAAAAAGATGCAGGAATGAATCTAATGAAAGATATGAAAGACACATATAGAGAAAGCTACAAAACTGGGCTGGGAAGGTGGCTCAGTGGTGGAGCGCTTGCCTTGCATGCCTGAGGCCCTGGGTTCGATTCCTCAGCACCACATAAGCAAAAAGAAAAAAGCTGGAAGTGGCGCTGTGGCTCAAGTGGTAGAGCGCTAGCCTTGAGCTTCATGAAGAACTGAGGGACAGCGCCCAGGCCCTGGGTTCAGGCCCCACAACCGGACTCAAAAAAAAAAAGAAAAGAAAAAAGAAAGCTACAAAACTTACCAAAAAACATGAAAGTGCAACAAGAAGAAATATAGCATGTGACTACGTGCCAGACAATGGTAGTTTCTCATGCCTGTAGTCCTAGCTACTTAGGAGCCTGAGATTTAAGGACTGCAGTTCAAAGCCAGCCTGAACAAGAAAATCTGTAAGACTATCTCCAATTAAATCACAGAAAAGGCTAGAAGTGGCTTGAGAGGTAGTGTTAACTTTGAGCAAAAGGAGCTTATGGACAACACCCAAGAACAGAGTTCAAGCCTCAGGACCACCATAAAAAAGAAATTCTGAAAAAAAAGTCACAGCAATTTATTAAATTCCAAGGCCCCACCTCAGATACTCTTAGTAGGATTATTATTATTATTTTGAATTTTTAACAATCTAAGTAAAAGTGCTGCTGCTGTACCTATAAACCATCCACAAGTCTTTACATCCAAAAGTCTTTACTTTTTTTGTTCTTATAAATTATTAATGATGATTTTTTACATCACAGTAATAGCTAAAATCCGTGGACTTTTACAGACAAAACTCTTAAATTCTTCAATAATAACGCTTAATAAGATCCATTATCACTGGGCACTAGTAGCTCACACCTGTAATCCTAGCTACTCAGGAGGCTGAGATGTAAGAATCAAAGTTCAAAGCCAGCCTAGCCAGGAAAGGCCATGAGACTCTTATCTACAATTAACCACCAGAAAACTGGAAGTGACGCTGTAGCTCAAGTGGCAGAGCATAAGCCTTGAACAAAAGAGCTCAGGAACAGAGCCCTGGCCCTGAGTTCAAGTCCCATGAATGACAATAAATAAATGAATGAATAAACAATTCAAATTTTAAGTATTTACCTTTACTAATTAATCCTTGAGTAATCAACATACTTGTAGCAGCCAAAGGCACAGCTATAGAAGGGGGGAAAAAGTCATTATCAACAACAAAAAATTTAATTTGCCTTGAATTCAATAAGAGATAAATGAGCATCAATAAAACCTTCTAGAAGTAGACTGCACAAGTAATTACCTTTAAAAGAAATTGTTATATCTTTGAAAGCTGTACTATACACATAGATGGTAAAAAAAAAAAATGCTTTTCAAGAAAACATTACAGCCAGGCACCAGCAGTCATGTCTGTAATCCTAGATATTGAAAAGGCTAAGATCTGAGGATTGTGGTTTGAAGCTAGCCCAGAGAAAAAAGTCCGTAAGATTCTTATCTTCAATTAACTAGCAAAAAAGCAAAAAGTAGGGGCTTGGTTCAAGTGGTAGAACACTAGCCTTGAACAAAAAAAGTTAAGGGACAGCACCGGGTATTGAATTCAAGCCCCAGGACAGGCACCAAAAAATAATAAAATAATATTTTTAAAAACTACAAAACGGTAAGCAATATACTTAAGGATCCATCTTAGGCTCCAAAATAGGTAGCAGTTCATTAATAATACCATCTGAAATAACAGAATAAAAATGACAAGTTACTTCTGAAGGAGAAAAAAGAATATGAATAAAAGCCACTTTTCTTTAAATAGGTCAATGTTGAATAATAACCAAGCATAATCCATGATGCATACTAAATACCTTATATGCATGTTACTTTGAATCATTCCTTTATTAGATAATATTACCACCTACTTAAAGATAAAGAAACCGAAAATTAGAGATAAGACCCTTGCTCAGAACGATATTTAGTGCAATGCCAGGTACCATGTTGTAATGTAATCTTTCTGATATCAGGGAAGGAGCTTTTAAGTTCTATATTGCTGAATAAACCAAAATACAAAACATATTTGACCAAAATCACATGGTGGCTAGAGATATATAAACCATTTATTTTAAATACTCCTTAAAAGTATTTGACAGGCTGGGAATGTGGCTCAGTAGTAGAGTGCTTGCCTAGCATGCACAAAGCCCTGGGTTCATTCCTCAATACCACATAAACAGGAAAAGCCGGAAGTGGCGCTATGGCTCAAGCACTAGAGTTGACCAAAAGAAGCTCAAGGACAGTGCCCAGACCCTGAGAGTTCAAGCCCCAAGACTGGCAAAAAAAAAAAAAAAAGGTGTATGAAAACTGGACGCCAGTGACTCATGCCTATAATCCTCGCTATTCAGGGGGCTGAGATCTAAGGATCACAGTTCAAAGCCAGCCTGGGCAGAAAATTCTTGAAACTCTTATCTCCAATTAATTACAAAAAAAGCTGGAAGTAGAGCTGTGGTTGAAGAGGTAGAGCACTAGCTTTGAGCAAAACAACTCAGGGACATTGCCTAAGCTCCAAGTTTATTGCAGGACCAGCATAGAATTGAAAAACTATATGAAAATATTGTAGCTTTATACTTACTAATCTAGAGTGAAAAATCCAAAGTTCTCATAACTCTAAGATGACTTATAACTTAGAAACATAAATCACTGTTCTCTACACCAGCACTAACAATATTCTGTCATGATTGCAAACCAATCTGGCAAGCAACTTGACTAGCGACTAGTTCTCTACATGAAAATTACCTAAATAATTGTTCCTAAGTTTGAACTATGCTTATATACAGGGAAGAGGACTGGAATTTTAGTACCTGCAAGGCTCAGGTTATCCACCTTCCATGATAGGTATCAATACCTGAGAAATTAAAGATGCCCTTTGTGCATGATTATACTAAAAGACTTCAGAAGCTTGCATCTGGCTTCCTCTAGACTTTACTTCATAATCCTTTTCCTGATTTTGCTTTATATTCTTTCACTGTAAATTATTTTAAGTAATTCCATCTGTCATGGATGTACATTGAATAGTTCTGTTCCAGACCAGGGAATAGCAAACATGTTCTAAAGAACCAGAGGGGAAGTAACTATTTAGTCTTAATCCAGACTACTTGACTGCTGTTTTAAGGAAAAAGCAGACAGAGATAATGCAGAAACAGCTCCATGTATGTTTTAACTTTATTTAGATGTTTCAATAAAACTTTACTTATGGGCATAAAAATATTAATTTTAAGTCACTTTCACATGTAATGACAAAGTCTTTCCTTTTCTTTCCCTTCAATCATTTAAAAATGTAAAAATAGCTGGATGCCCCATAACTCACACCTTTAATGCTAGCAACTCAGGAAGCTGAATATCTAAGGATCACAGTTCAAAGCTAGTGCAGGCAGAAAAGTCCATGAGGCTCTTATCTCCAATTAATCACCAAAACCCTCAAGTGGCAGTCTTATCCTTGAGCAAAAAAGGTCAGGGACAATGCCCAAGCACTGAGTTCAAACCCAGGACTGGCACTACCAAGAACAACAAGAACAAGAGTAAAAACAATTCATTACCTCTGCAAAAACAAATTTGACCTAAGGACTGAGCTTGCACAACTCTGGTCTAACTATACATGGACAATTTAAGAATCTAAGAAATTAAGATATATGAATCATTAGAGAAATTTTATAATTTAAAAAATTTGTAACTTTTGGAGAAGGCATTACATTTGTCTTCAGACACAAGTTGCAGAAATCTTAAGTTTTGACTCTACTACTCTACTTACTAGCAGATTTTACCTTTGCTGTAAAAGGTTTCTTTACTGTTGGCTAGTTAGAATGCCTTTATGTATTATCACTTATGGTTTTTCAAAGGACAAATCCTGTTTAATTACAGCACATCTTGTTTCAAACACTGAAAAACGCAGCACTGAAGAATTAATTATATGAGGATAAAAGGTGATGTGTTAGCCATGTCAACAGTGGACAAGGGTTTTCTGTTCAATGTTAAAAGTAAGTAACAGTTATGCTAATGGGGTTCACTATTATGCCATCATATAGCTCAGCTTCCACTCATGCAATAAAGAAATAAACAGATTGGCCTAAGATCTCTTTCTAACTTGTGTATTATTCTATTAATATAACATAAAAAGATAATGGTAAAACTGAATAGAACATCACATGTTATCTAATCCTCATCCTAATCAAAACAAATGGATATCCCAAAAGGACAAGTCATATGCTCATGTACAGAGTCTTTACTACCTGTATATTCAGGCTCAGACACACCAGTTTCTAGTCAGTTCACAGACCCACAGTTTTAAATATCTAGAAATAATATGACTTCACAGTAAGACTTGAAACAGGAAGTAGTGATCCTAGCTACTTTACTTGAAAGATGGTCATCAGAAGATCCAGGATCAAGGCCAGACAGAACATGAAATTTCATGAGATTCCATCTCAACTAATGGCTAAGCACAGTGGTGAGCACCTGTTATCCCAGCTAGAGAGGAGCACAATGGCTGGCATAATGCGTAGAGATACAGGTAAGTACAAGTGTAAGAAATGAAGCCCAGGCCAGCCTGGGCATAAAGTGAGACCCTACCTTGAAAATAACCAATGTAAGTCAGGCACTGGTAGTTCACATTTGTAATCCTACCTCCTCAGAAGGCTGAGACCTGAGGATCACAATTCAAAGCCAGCCTGGGCAGTAAAGTCCAATTAACCACCAAAATACCATAAGTGAAGCTGTGGCTCAAAGTGGTAAAGCTGTAGGCTTGAGCAAAAAAAAAAAAAAAAAAGCTCAAAACAGCACCCAAGCCCGGAGTTCAAGCCTCATGATCAACAACAACAAAAAAATACTGTAATTGAATAATATTTCACAATAATAAAATGGATCTAACCAGCTTTTATTACACTTAAAAGTGAGTTAAAAAACCAGCTTGCATTTCAGACAGATCTGGCTTCAAGTTCAGACACAATAACTCACTAACTGTACAACACTGCCTAACTCATTTAACATCTCTAAACCTCAATTTCTTCATCGCTAATATTTATCATCCCTTCAGGGTTGTTTTTATAAAACTAATGTACACTCAGTAAATACCATTATTATTTTTTTGTGTGTGTATGTATGTTGGTTGTGGGGACTGAACTGTGGGCCTGCGCGATGTCCCTTAGCTCTTCAGCTCAAGGCGAGCGCTCTACCAATTGAACCACAGCACCACTTCTGGCTTTTTCTGCTTATGTGGTGCTGAGGAATCGAACCCAGGGCCTCATGCATGAAGGCAAGCACTCTACCAGTGAGCCACCTTCCCAGCCCCCCAGTAAGGGCCATTATTATAACTGATAAAATTGCCTCCTGGTTTTGAAAAAATACTGAAATTGCTTTAAAATGTACACAATTCCATTTTTTAACATCTATGCGCAATAACCACACCATGCCAAAAACATGTCACTAGCCACTAGAGCCAGGAACATGCAAATTTGTTCTACATGGAATTATAATTTCAAATGCAAACTCAGGTCAAAATTCTAGATACAAATTTTGGAGCAAACCATGTTCATTAGAAAATTGAACTTACATCTGAACCAGAAGCTTTCATCATTGCATTCTGCGAAGACTCTTCTTTCTTCCTCAGTTGGAATGTAATCAGCTCCTATGTCTTTTCGCCAAGGAAAGTTGAAAAATAATAAAATGCTCATAAAAAAAAAACTAAACTGCAATACTAGCTTAACCAAAGACACCTAATATTTTGTATACTAGTACATGTAAACATTTACAAACTTAGAACTAGTCAGAACCAGGTGTTAGACCCAGTGTTTAATGGAAATGTGAAACCTCTTGTTCAAATCACTAGGCATTTCAAATTGGCAATGAGAGCATTAAACCAAGTGTGAAACCCTGCGTGATCATGTAGGTGGCACACTCATTAACCCAGCCCAGCGCTACTATTACTTAGGCAATAAAATTCTCTTTAACCACAAAATGCTACTAACTATAAATACTTAATATGATAGTTACGGGGAATTGGTCTTGGAACTTCTGTGTCCGGCTCTCGAAAATCAGCCCTCCCATTCATTTTTCCTGTGTCAAAACATTTAAATATTAGAAACTATCACAATGTTAAAAACATAATATTTAACAAAATTACTTGTCCACAAGACAATAAATATTAAATATGACATCTTGGTATAATAAAGCTAAATGCAAATCATAAATCTAATTAATTTGGACTGATTATTCCTGTTAGTTCCCTTAGATGGAAAAGGTGTAGGTATTCACCAACCGTTACATTAATATATGGTTAAAATATAAAAACAACACTAAAGATGGATTATTTTCACCTATGCCTAATGATCAGGTTAACGTTCCAAATAGAAGAAAAATCTCATCATTTCCAGACTTCCATTTTAGAAGGAAATATCAGGAAACATGCCACCTCTTCCACAAAGCAATATTCAAAAAAAAAAAAAAAAAAGTGGATAACAAACGAGGCCATATCCTTCTCCCTGTGGTGTAAAGCAGACAGCCAATCTAACTTGTTAACGTTCTTCCGTCAGCTCAAATAATCTTCAACTGTCAAATACATGATTCCAAAAAAAAAAAAAATGCAACAGTATCCTATTACCTTCTTAATTGGGTTTTTTTTTCAAACCCATGCCACAGGATGTGAGGCCAGCAAATCAAATATCTACCTTACGTAACACCACAGGGCAATGACAATTCCCACTTCTAATACTGCATGAACACACGACATAGTATACAGTATATGACAATAGCAGTGGGACCCTCCGACATTCAGTCAGTCATTGGGGTCATCGCCCAGGGCCTACGACGTGCTAATTCATTATTCAAATAAATAAATAAATGAAAGGTAATCTGAATTCGAGGACCAAGTCTTCTGAACAAATGACTCCTATTTTAAAGCCACCTGGGGGCGGGGAGGGGAACACCTTATTTTCCCCGACTCCATCCTTCCTAGAGCCTGGCAAGGTCGCTCTAAACAATACCACGGAGAGATGTACCCGACTCCAAGGGAAAGCAGCCAGGCCCGCAGGCGTGCGGGCAGCGCGCGGGCAGCCAGCCGCCCCGGAGCGCGGGGCAGCGGCCGACGCGGACGCGGGGGCCCCCGCCCCGCCCGCCCGCCCGCAGCTGCCGCGGCCTCCCGCCCTCACCCGCACACCGAGGCCCCGGCCCGGCCACCCTCGGGAGGAAAATGGCGGAGGGCACAACACAGCGAGCGCCAGGCTGAGGGGCTGCAGAGAGCGGAAACGGGGGCCGCGGCGCCACCAGACCCACCTCCCGAAGCGGCGGCGAGCCCTGGCGACCCGGGGTCGGAGACCGCGAGGCAAGCCGAGAGGAGCAGGGGAGGGAGAAAGGAGCGCCGGGCACCTGGGCGGGCGAAGGGGGCCGGCCTGCGACGCGGCAGCCAAAAAGTCAACCAGATACGGGCTCCAAGTGGCCGCGACCCGGACGCACTAGCCCCGGAGGCCGGAAATGACGTCAAGTTCTCCCGACGGAGGATAACTGCGCAGCCTCTCCTCGTACACCCTTCCGCCTGCGTCTTCCGGACTCACACGGTACAATTCGTCCCTCCGCCCTTCACACCGGGGCCCCATCGCGCTCCAGAGTTGCACTGCGGCTGCGCGGAAAGAGCCCCGCCCCCTCCCCCCGGAGGCCGCGGGTAGGCATTGTGTTCTGGTGACGCCCCCTTCCTCCTGGTTCTGTGACCTGCTGGTGTGGACACCCCTAAAACCCCAACTGTGCCACACTCTCTGAGAGTGTCCGGCCTTCCTGCTTCACAGTAGATCGTTTTACTCTTTAAGCCTCTAAACGAAGCCGTAGAAAGTAAATCGTAAATGCATGCCCTTTAGTAATCTGTTCGATCCTCTTGGGTCTACTTTCTGACCGGTTCCAAAATGGCAGAGGTGGCTCCGAGCTTCAGGCGTTGCTCATCTCCTTGGTCATGACCCCTGCCTGCCTCGAGAGGTTGTTACGATTAAAAGAACACATGATATTAGGATTAAAACAAGCACATCCTTTCTGATGAGGGAGCGTACACTGGATGGCAGGCCTCTGGTTCATCAAACATTTGGCTGCCACGCCCAACCTCCCCCCACCTCACCCCTGATTTATTCATTTTCTTTCATTCATTCCACAAATGTTTATTGATTGCCTACTCTAAACTGAAAGTTTATTGTTGTTCCAACAGTAGGGTAGGCCCTAACCAACCAATCCACCCCTTTGCCCTGTCCATACTTCCATCTTTTCCACTGACTCTAGAGCCACTCCACCTTCGTTCTCCTACAAACGTATTTCAGAGACACAGCCATAGAACCGCACAGATTCAACGGTTTCCATTTTTGAGCCTTTTGGTAACTCCTACCACACACAGAACTATGAATTTGCCTCTATGCCTCTTGAGCCTCACATCAATAAGAAATAGCCTGTTTTCTTTGCAGACATTGTTTCCTGTGCACCACCTGTTCCCTTACCATGTCAATTGCATTAGTATTTCAAATTTCTGGATTTTTGTACATCTTCTTTGTGACTTTATCTCTGAAACATATCCTAACAATGGAGTTGTGGGCTATGTTATGATTTTTTTCCTTACGTTATCTGTTCTGTAGTTCTATAGTTCCTATAGAAAAGACACTTTACAGGTCTTTATAGTCCCAAACATGTCTTTAAGATAATATCTTAACACAAACTACATCTGGCTCAGTGTAGTCAATGTGTTGTTCTTGAGATAGCAGGCCATATGCAAGGGACCTGCTTTAAGAATGGAAATTAGAACTTCATTATTTGATATCTTCAAAGTTCTTTTGGAGCTTATTTTTAAAAACCCATCTGGTTTGTTATATTTCTGCTAATCTGATATTCAGAAAACCAAGTTTTCAACAGATTGGATATTTTACTGGTAAACCTTTAAATGGTTATTGTATTCAAAATTTCTCTTGATTGGAAAGAATTCCACTAAAAAAGTCTTAGTCAGTGAAGGATTGAATCCTGCTTTATTCCCCATGGGTATATGATATGATATGATATGTCCTCACGTGCTTGTCCTCAGGCAGGTCATTCCGAACTTGGCCTCCAGGAGACAATAGCCCCCACACTCCAGAAGTCCACTGTGGGCCTGGTCAAGGACATTGCCCTTGGTCTCCAGGAGACCATAGCCCATTTTTTTATTCTCTGCTTCCTTGTTAAGATCAATATATAAGCCCACCCCAAAATCCAGTCCCTTGCACAACCTCCAAACCCACGGGAAGGTCTATGCCCCTTGCTGTTCCTCAATAAACAGTTCTTACCTATTGGTGATCCAGTCTGGCCTATTCCTTTTCCATTCTTCTCCATTTTCCCAACAGTCAGAGCCAAACGTGAGTCTTAGTTCAGAGACTGAGACAGGAGCATCTTTGAGTTCAAGGGCAGCCTGGGCCCTATAGCAAGTCCTTGTCTCAAAAAGAAAAATATTATTCCAAAGTTTTATGCAATGTCTATTTAAAACTCAGCATCTCATTTTTTACATTTATCCCCTTGTATTTTGTATCTTTAATTGCAAATATACACATAATTAAGCCTTATGTAGATGCTAAACCCCTCCAATAATTCTAGTAAACTACACAAATACTGTGATGTTCCCTTTTTTTGCCTTTCCTTCCTGATTTTTCTTTGCTTTCTTGCCTTTCTTTTTATTTCTTTTTTTTTCCTTCCTTCTTTCACTTTTTTCTTTTGTAGTGAAGGGCGTTGAATTGAGGATTTTTTACATCCTAGAGAAGTACACTCCCACTGAACTACACCCCCAATTTTAAATACTGTGATTTTTTTTCTATGTATGCTATGGTATAACATATACAGAATATTACAAATTTCCATGCAGGCGGAGATGTGGGCTAGTGCAAGGATGAACAGATCAGCATAACTGGGAGATGGATTGCTTCTATCCTTTGCAAAAAAGGAAGAAGGTTAAAGAAAAGGTACAGATACATCACATCCATCTGTGAAAGACAAAGCAATTGAGGATATTGGCAAAAGAATGATTGAAATTATGGGCAATGGAGCAGAAGTTGGGCAGGGAAGAAGTGATACCAATCAAATAAGGATTAAAGACAATTATCAAAGCCCTGACATTCACTATTATGCAAAACAAAAAACAGGTAGGTGTATAGAGAGCCCAGGCCCTGAGTTCAAGCCCCAGGACCAACAAAACAAACAAAAACAACAAAAATAATACAGGTATAGGTGGGGATGTCTATGCCAGAGAGATAGAAAAATAGAAAAATATTTGCTAGATAATCAAGTGTAAATATTTCATATTCAATGGATTTACAATAGAGCCACAAAGAAAACATCACTGAGATCAGTGATAGAAGTTAGAAGGAAGATGTAACTAGAGTAGCTATTGGGCTTCTGAGGGTTCTGACACACAGCGTTGTTCTACAGTTTGATTTCATCCATACCATTAGAGATTTAATGATTTTATAGGAGCTGAACTGACTACTTGTGGAGTGCACATTGTTGGAAGCTACTTTATCTTCTAAGTCTCAGGAGTAAAATTTATGTTTGTTCACATACAAGGTCCACAGTAGTTCTAGACTTTTGCCTACCCTTCAAAAGTCAGGCTTCCTGAGGGATATGAGTTCTTTGGTAGGTTTTGCAGGTCATTCCAAATACGCATAGGTTTGTGCAAATGAAGTTCTAGACCATTACTCCCAGGTCTTCCTTACAAACATATTGCCATTTCTGAGTCTTCTAGAGAGAAACATGCATCTGCCACTATTTGTTTCTTCTAGATGATTTAGAGGGACTTCAGAAATCCTAGATCCCTAGAATATATCTCAAATATATCTCAACTTATGCTTGGATATATTTTCGTAGGACATATTTTGTAACTTGTTTTATTTTTTGTTATAATTTTTTAGCAGATTAGATGAAGAGGAGCATCAATAAAATTATAGAGCCTATACTAATATAAACCTAGGAAAAATCAATTAGTATGAGTTTACAAATCATGCAAAATATTTTAAAAGCACTAGTTTACATGCAGTAAAGATGAGTATTTTATTAGAGATTAGAAAGGATTTTTTTTGTTTGTTTGTTTTGTTTTTTTGTTTTTTGGTCGGCCGTGGGGCTTGAACTCTGGGCCTGGGCGCTGTCCCTCAGCTCTTCAGTTCAAGGCGAGCGCTCTACCACTTGAGCTACAGCACCACTTCCGGTTTTCTGGTGGTTTATTGGAGATAGGAGTCTCACGGTCTCTTCTGCCTGGGCTGGCTTTGAACCGCGATCCTCAGATCTCAGCCTCCTGAGTAGCTAGGATTACAGGCGTGAGCCACCAGCGCCCGGCTTAGAAAGGATTTTTTAAAAAATTTTAAATAGCCAGACACTGGTGGTTCATAACTGCAATCCTAACTACTCAGGAGACTGAGATCCTGGTTCAAAGTCAGCCTGGGAAGGAACATCCATGAGACTCTTATCTCCAATTAACCACCAAAAAAACAGAAGTGGCACTGTGGCTCAAGTAGTAGAGTGCTAGCCTTGAGCTCAAGAGCTCAGGTACAGCACCCAGGCCTGGATTTCAAGACCCACAACCAACAAAAAAAATTGTAATAAAAAAAGAGGTAAGCATACAATGTTAAATTAAGTCAGTACTACTCCTAATAAGCAACAACAAGTAGTTTGTCGAACATTCAAGTTAATTAAAACATGAAGCAACATTAGGCTTCAATTGATGAACTATTCTGGTTTTAATCTATACTGTTTGTTGGATTGTAGCACGATATTTGTTCTTTAAACTCAGTTCTGTTTTCAGTATCCTGATTAGTATGGTCAAATATGAATCTACTGCAAAGAGTTGACTCCATCAAATGTTAAAAAAAAAGAACTTCTTCCACATATAACTGAGTCTGTATGGAAGACTATCTTTTTAACTACAACAAATAGTTGAAAAGAAAGGATTGAAATAGCTGTTCCTGATTTTCTTTGTGTGTACAGTTTTATTTTCAGGCAGAGGCAGAGAGGGGATAAAAAGAAAAAATCCTCCACAGGAGGTGACCCTGGCTGCCATGCTCTTCATGCTGTCAATCAACTAGAGAACCATCTGTCCCACTTTAGATTTCAGGAGCCATCATGCACATCTGCTGTGTCTTTTCTAATGTCACTTATCAAACCTTCTAAAAGCTGTTAGATGAACTATGGGAACTAGAGCACAGCTACATAGAGCTGGCTTAAAATTTTTGCAGCTGGTCCTATATCTCAACTTCTCAATTCAGAATTTTAAAAAATCAAATTAGAACCACAAAGTGAACGGTTCATTTCTTAATAATAACTTTAAGAGAATAGGTCTTAAACTTTTGTTCTCTGAAAGTTTAAATTACATTTCTAAGCTGAGTGAGGTAGAATACACCTGTAATCCAGGCTACTCAGGAGGCAGGATAAGAGTGCAATTCAAACCCTAGTACCAGGATCCAAACAAGCAAAC